AGCCAGACCCAAAGAGTCGAGGACACCGCTACTGTAATACAGCAGGGACAGAACGGGTGGAGGGGAACAAAGGCAGAGGGATGGAGAGAAGGTTGGGACACAGCAGAAAGAAGCTGCAGGGACTAGAGGGGGGGATGAAAAAAAGAAAGAGGAAGGTGAGTGCAGATCTCGCTGTTAACCGGAGCAGGCTGGAGGTAAAAGTTCATGAGAGATATTTGCTGTTTAGTCAGCTGGAAGGTCTGATGTGAAGTTTGGTCTCCATCCCAACAACAAAAAGGACAAAAGGAAAAAGGTTTGCCACACACAGATTCAGGATTAACAAAACACCAGGAGGACAAAAGGAAGTAAACAAAATGGAAAGAGAGGAGCAAACGGATAACAGCTTACGGACTATAGCCATCATTCTGCTGTGCTGTGCCACCGCCAAGCTGCTGCACCTGATGGGAGTCATCACAGTGGAGGGTGAGTGTTTACGCTATAATCCAGGCCCGATTAAACCGGTCAAATCTGAGTTTCAAGTTTAAGACAATGTTGATGAGAAAAAGAAAAATGAAACCAAATCAATTAACTCGTAGAATTTTAGGTTAGGGTTTTTCTGCTGACTTTCTTGAAAAATATATAATGAATTTGTTCTTTTAATACTTTTAATTTTGATGTAGACTTTGCTGAATCAGCAAGCAAGGTTGATAAAGTGTCTCTGAGATGTTAAACAACAAAACAATAGGATTTTATTTACAACTCTACTTAATTTTTTTACAACATTCTGATAAATTCAAGCTTTTTGTCTAATGAGCTGAGTTTGGGTTTATTCCACAAAACCAACATAAAACATGAAGCGTAGAACATGTTTGTTAAATTTTCTTTCATCAAAGATTATCATCATTTTATTTAAGGTTTATGCCACTGAACTTTTCATCATCAGATTATTCTACATCGATGACATAATCTTCATAAAGAATGTTGTTCAGATTAAATCGTTCATTATGAATCTACTGTCTGCTTATTAGGAGCTCTGCAGACGGGGCTTGTTTTAAATGAGTTCATGGGGTGTGATGTGACCTTGGCGATCTCTCTCTAAGTGCAACTCTGATGTTATGTCGTGTTTTATGTTGGATTAGCTGTTTTTGGTTGTGAGCCTGTTCGCAGCCACTAAAGCTTCTAGCTCATATGATGCTATAAACTCTTATCAGTTTGATGAAGCACATGGCACTCATCATTAATGTGATCTTTATCAAAAACAAATCATCTCGATTTTAATCTCAACAGTTCAGAGCATTCGCTTTGGTTTCCAGTTTAGACCAGATGTTTAAATGAGTATTTGATCATAATCAACAACAAATGCAGTGTGTCTTATGGGATGTACAAAGGGGGAACCCTGACGTCTGAGGTTCATGCCAGCGAGGAGATGAAGTTACAGTGTGAATCATGATTCACTGGGAGAGCACAAGTGGAGTGTCGTTGGCGTAATGAGGCTTTACACACCACTAATGGTTTTGCCACACAGATAAAAATGTCTCTTTGTGGAAATTGCCGATGATTGCAGAGAACAATGTGAACCTGTGTGACACTTACAGCTGAAGCCTTGTTTCTTCAGACTGCAGCTTTCCTCATTCAAACTATTTTCTTCTGAGGCTTTAAGAGTGAAATGCATTTAAATGATAACAATCTGGTTTATGCAGTAAATTGTCTGAAATTGATCCTGTGAACCAGTGTTTCAAACATAATCGTCACCACAAAGGACAAAACATCAGTTTTTATTTTATTATTGTGCAGCCAAATGAAGGAATTAGCTGATTTATCTGGGCTGTAGGCCGTGAAGTTTAATGTCTATCATGCTGCCTGAAGAGGTTTTAGTCCAAACATGGATTTTTGTTCAAATCGATGATTAGGTTTTCTTTTTTTTCCACACAGATGTTTTTCCTGAAAAGACCTTCATTAAACACACCATTTTATTATCTAAACTCCACAAAATCCTGTTTCCTTCTTTAGCTCCAAGCTTTCATTACCCCACATTTTGGCCACTTTATCATATTCAGAATTTTTATTAGTACTTCCATTAAATTATGCACCGTTATAACAGTATCCATAATTATTACTCAAAATTGCTTCAGGGAGCATGTGATCTGTGAAGACGGGTGGGTGTGTGAGAAACCATGTTTGACAGTGATGTTCACCTATAGGCATGTGTGTGTTGAGTCAGTGGTGTGTCCTTTCTCCTACCCCTGCAGGAAGGGAAGTAATGAGCAGTTAATGATGAGGCTGGAGAGAGGATGAACACAGCACTGCTCTTCTGGCCTCTCTGTACACCTCCATCTCTCATTTTCCTTTCTGAATTATAGAAACAAAGATGTACAATTTAAAGAAACAGAAGAATATATATCTGCAAATGTTGCATTTCAAGTTATTCAAGTTAATGGTTGATGCTTATTAATAACAACAAAAAATGCTTGAATACGTTTTAATTGGGTTCAAAGTAAAATTTCCAATGAGTCACTAATTCAGCTTCTATATGATTTTTAATGCAGACAAGACGTAAAATGATGAATGAATGATTGTTTGCTGTGTTTTTGATAGAAAGACCAGTAAATGTCAACAAGGATTTTAGCAGCAGGTTGTAATGGGCCACCGGGGCTTCAGAGCTCCCTGTGGTAACAAAGTAATTACAGAGGATTTCTTTTATGACAACAGATAGGGGGTGGGGGTGGGGGGTGGGGGGGGGGGTTGCAGGCATGTCTCCCAATTCACCTCTTACCCCTTCTTTCCACCGGAGCCGTCAGCAGCACGTTACTGCAGCAGCACGTCTTGCTCGCATAAGCTGCTGCTTGGCCCTTCCCACGAGTTGCGAAGCAGCAGGGGAGCAGCTGTCACCGACCGAGCACGAAGTCACACGAGTGACTTCATCAGTAAACACAACAACAAGCAGGAGAAAACTACAACATGGCTCCAAAAGGTTTCTGTTTTATGTTCTGTCCGTTTTATAATCGCCAATAAGGACCTGAAAAACAAAGGAGACCACTAGCTAGGTGATAACTTCTCACGGGGCCGCACAGTTAGTAACTTTTTTTAAAAGTAAAGCAACCGGAAGGCAGCATGTTTCTTTATTCTGAAAATCTCCGGAGCTTCGCTCCGTTTCCGCGTCCAATTTTCTGTCTTTCCTTCCCCAAAAATGTCGAACTTGACCCGTTTCAGAGGCGTCGTGCGTAGAAAATAGAACCGGCGCGTAAGGGCCGCGACATGCTGCTCCTGAGACGCGGCCGACTCGCGCTGCTGACGGCTCCGGTGCATGGACGTACTTTTCACTTTAGAAGTGGAGGGGACATGGGGGGGGGGGGGGGGGTGTATCTTTACAGTATGTTCTAATGGGAAACAGGCTTCAACACAACTGGTTGTTTTCTGCTTGGTCCTAGAGCTCAACCAGTGTCAATTTAATATAGCGTAATATTGTTTTTGGATGGTAAAAATTGCAGGGGTCAAAACTTGACTTTGGAAAAAGTGGGGGGGACATGCCCCCCCCGTCCCCTCCCCCAAAATTACGTCCATGCTCCGGTGGAAAATGTTTCATTGACCACAGCGGTTCCTATCAGCAGCTATGACGTGCTGCTGACGGCTCCGGTGGAAAGCCGGGGTTATAGACGTCAGGCAGACAAAACGATCAATAAAACAATACTAAACGTGATGCGGCCTTTCTCTTAGGTCACAGAGATCTGCAACAGAAACAAAAACAATGACCTCCGAACTGTATTTCAAACATATAAATAATTTATCAAGTTCAACCAAAGCCGATAGGCACCAGGTTACAGACATGGGCTGTTACAACACACTCCAAAATACCTGTAGCTGTAATTACAGTGAAAAGTGGCTCGGTAGAGTATTGATGCAGATGGCTGAATACAAATACCACACTTTAGATTTTTATTTGCTTAAAGGTTCCATATCAGGCTATTTTAAACCACTGAGAGCAAAGGTAGGCACAACGTATGATAACTTATTACCAATGGAACTTTTAATACGTCATTTATCTTAAACATGAGTTATTTATGTCAGGATCTTTACTCGGAAAATGAAAGTTTGTTTCAGTGAAACATTGCTCACGCCCGCTCCAACAAAACGTGTGTATAACAGCTGCATCTTAGGCAATTCAATTGTTGCATTGGGCTGGTAGTCCAGCAGAGAAAGCATCCGGTCTGGGCTACCAAGTCTGTTACATAACAACAGTCGCCTAGGACACATATTCTGTGCTGGCCATTATGAGCAGCTTTGTGGACAGGACACATGGTTTTGTCCCCAATGCTTAAGTCATTAGTCAGAACATCCACTCTGGTAGTGGTGCAGGTTTAAGGCAGTCATCTGTGACATGAAGGTCACATTCTCAACTGCAGCGTGAAAATCAACTACTCAATTCCCTCAACTCGAAGAAAGTGGCCATTAGTGACCTACTTCCAAGGGACGCGAGTTTCAGATCAGAGACCAGTTTCAGGTGGAGGAGCAGGGTCTGATGAGGTCCATCAAGGTTTTTGAAAATAAAATTCAAAATTTGCATCTGAGACAGGAAAATGCATGAATGCAGCCAAAAACAGGGTTGGGGTATTTTTCATGAGGAAATAACAATGTGGTGAAAAGCTCCGAAAAGTGGATTTTCCATAATTTTTGGTGTCAGTTAATTCCACTTCAGTTGTGTGCTGCTTTGTGTTGGTCTGTCACGTAAAATCTCAATAAAAACATCTAAGTTTGTAGTTGTGAGGTGTCAAAATGTGTGAAAGTTCAAAGGGTATGACTTCTTTTACAAGGTGCCGTGTGACAGTGGCAACTAATGTCACCGGGATGAAAGTTTTAAAGTTCCAACCTGCCAGTGAGAAACAAATACACACCATTATTTTACAATCAGGATTCAAACAGAGGAAAAGTGATTATCAAATTACTACTGTCATATCTGGAAACATCTGGATTTCTGGGTTGGTTACCTCCTCTGACCAGTTTTTTCTGTGTGTGTGTTGTTTCAGACAAAGCTGACGATGACTTGGAGATGACCATGGTGTGTCATCGACCAGAGGGCCTCGATCAGCTAGAGGCTTTGACCAACTTCAATAAGAGAGAGCTCCAGGTGCTCTACAGGGGCTTCAAAAATGTAAGACACTAATGAGGACAGGCTTTAGTGTAACCGCTGCTAGCAGAGATATTAGTTATTGTATTTGGCTTAAGTGATAATTAGAAACACATGACTCTGGCTCTGAAAGGCCTCACCAAATATGACACACAGGCAGGCTCTCCCAAAGGCACTTCCAAAGGTCATCATCATCATCATCATCATCATCTTTATAAAGCACTTTCCATCAATGAGAGATTGAACCAAAGTGCTATAAACACAACAAAGATATGAAGGAGTAAAACAACAGCAACCATGCCGTGACTAAGATAAAACATGGATAAAAAATGGATTAAAACAACAAAGATATTTGTTAAAAGACAAGATAAGAACGACTAAAAGAGGGCTAGTGGAACGCCATGGTGTAAAAATGGGTCTTCAGCCTGCTCCTAAAAACTGGAAGAGAGGGTGCTTGTCTGATCTGTAATGGAAGGTCATTCCATAATTTGGGACAGAGAAAGCCCCGCCACCTCTGGTCGAACACTGCACACGTGGAACAACCAACAACTCCAGCCGTGATGACCTCAAAGCACACAATGGAGTGTACGGGGTGATTAAATCAAAGAGGTAAGATGGTGCACGGCCCTGTAGTGACTTGAAGACAAATGTGAGTACCTTGAACTTGACTCTAAAAGAGACCGGAGGCCAATGCAGATGAGCCAAAAATGGCCTGATGTGTTTCATGCCTCCTGGTGCCCGTCAAGAACCTAGCTTCAGCATTTTGTTAGCCTGGCAAGCCAGACTAAATAAAGGTATTATTTAGTCTGGCCACGCTCCATTGACGGCTCTCGGTTGTGGGGCGGGTTCTACCGTCGTCTTTCAAATGATCTCCGCATGCTACTGGACAATGAATGTGACATACTCTTGTTTCACTCTGTTGCATCATCCCACCCACCAGGCATATAGAGTGCCCTGATTGGCCCACAAAGCGGATAAAGCTCTGTGATTTGTTCACTAAGCAGATAGAGCACTATGATTGGCCCACCATTATGGACCAATCACAGCTCTTTATGTGTTTGGAACCCCTCTAGAGAGCTGTGATTGGCCAGCCAGAGTCCTGGTAGGAGCTGCGGAGGTTCCAATGGTGCATGCCTAGACCAAATTTGCAAAGCAAGAATTTGGTCTGGTTCACTAGGCTAGCATTTTGTACCATTTGGAGCCAAGCTAGAGCAGCCTTGCTAACTCCAGAGTAGAGGGAGTTGCAGTAATGTAATCAAGGGGTGATACAAACATGGACTACCATCTCCAGGTGAGCCCGTGATACTAGCGGCAGAGATGGAAAAAAAAACCCCAGCAAACTACACTGTCAATATGATGTTAAGCTTTAGCGACGGCGCAAAGGTGATCCCTCTGATCGGCCTCATCTCACAAGCTGCACCAAGCAGGCTGTTGTCCTGTACCCACAGGTGCAGCCACTCAGTGCAAGCAAGGACTGCACACAGCCAGGCCACTTGAATAGAGGGGCATAACAAACTTCCAACTTCAGCATGTATACGTTTTACTTTTATAATAGAATGGATGGATGTATTTCTTCATGCATATATATGCTCATACTTCACTTGACCTCTGACCTCACCTCAGCTCCTTCCTTGTGTCTTTCCAGGAGTGTCCGAGTGGAGTTGTAAACGAGGACACCTTCAAGCAAATTTACTCACAGTTCTTCCCACACGGAGGTGAAGTGTGTGTTAATGTGCTGTCCTTGTTGTTGTCTCACCTTTGCTTTCAGCATTAAGTGACTGTTTCTTCTGCTGCTTCAGATGCCAGCACCTACGCACACTACCTGTTCAACGCCTTTGACACAGGAAGTACAGGATCCATCAAATTTGAGGTTTGCTTCATTCTCATTCACTGCCTCATTGTACATTGTTGAACTGAAAGGATTTAAATCTCTGGTTTCTGACCTTGTTTCTTGCTTCTATAGGACTTTGTGACAGCTCTGTCCATCCTGCTGAGAGGTTCGGTCACAGAGAAGCTTCAGTGGACCTTTAACCTTTATGACATCAACAGAGATGGGCACATAAACAAAGAGGTTTGGTTTAGCTTCGTTTTTTTTCAGCTGTTAGGTTTTATTTCTTGGCTGTCTTCATGTTTGTGCCTGTTCTGTTTCACAGGAGATGACGGACATTGTCAGAGCAATATATGACATGATGGGGAAGTACACTTACCCAGTTCTGAAGACTGATGCACCCAAACAGCACGTGGACGCCTTCTTTCAGGTGCAGACAAAACCAACACTTGTGATTATCCTAGCTAGTAAAACACAGGGTTCTTCTCATGTGTGGAAGCTAAAGTAGATTTGAACAAAATAATTGTGCAAATGCATGTTTGTCTCTAACAATAAAAATGTTTTTATCTCCTTGCAGAAAATGGACAAAAATAGAGATGGAGTAGTCACTCTTGATGAATTCATCTTTTCCTGTCAGGAGGTACTTGTCAATTTTTCTCCTTTCAAAATGGTCAAAGTCACTGTTTACAGTCTTTGAGCCCACAAGGGTGCTCGGTCTGAGCAGAGCTAACGCTGCAGCACCGGCAAAAAGCTCCAGAGATCTCTAAAGAACCAAAACCAGTAAACAGGAATGACCCAGAAATGATTTCTTGCACCCCTGTGAAGCCATGGCATCTTTTTGTTTTACTTTAATATTGGGCGAAGCAGGCTAGAGGCTAATGTTGAGACAACGATGCTAACGGTGAATAAGAAGCTCTAAAAACCTATTAAGCTACTTTTTCATTTACCAACAAATTCTTATTACAGCTAAATGTATGTGTGAAGTGATTAATGAGTCAGTCGGGGCGTTTTTATTCATTTGTTGAGTTGTTCAGAACTATAACAGCAAGATGGAAACTGCATTCCCTGTAATGCTGGAGACATAATACCATAATAATTGTAGTAAGTGCTCCTTACCATAAAACACCTAAGAGTGCTACCACCAGAAATGATGATGAATTTATCTACTTAACAACTTACTGTGTATGACTCGTCCTTGTCATATCTTCTACTGATCCATAACTGGCAACAGCCATGAAACATACAGAATGGCAGTGAGAAAGTGTATTTTTCTCTTCATGAAGATGGGCTGCAGTCAGGGGCAGACTGACCCTCTGTGAGTTCTGGAGAATCCCAGAACGTCTAGGGTGCTCTAGGGTGGGTGGGTGAGCTCCATCCGCTCAGGGATCCCCCGTCACAGGATGAAGCAAACTGCAGCAACGTCCCGCCATCCCCTGCTTGGTGAACTTTATTCAGAGGATTTACTGTAAATTGCCCCACCCCACTGTCCTGCTACCTGACGGAGGTATTCCAGGGCTGATTTATTGTCCCAGTCCGGCCTTGGCTGCAGTACCCACATTTTACCACATGATGTCACTCTTACTTCATTTTTACATATTGAACCTTTAAGGCAGAACAAATACATCTTCTATGACAAATCAGTGAAACAGAGCCTCTCATCTCAATATATTTTGTAAAAGTTGTATTTTTTTAATCTGTAAAATGAAACAAAACCACTACAATCAAAATAAATGTGCTTACCACCTATGAACGTTTGTGAGTCTCACCATGAAAGCTATTAATTTTGTCGTCTTCTGCATCAAAGTGATTTGCACTCAAAGATCATTAAGATTTAATTGCCTTCTACTGCCCACTAGTGGTCAGTAAAATGAATTACAGAGTAATTGTTAGATTTTCTTCTGACAATCAGCATCTTAATTCGCAGGATGAGAATATCATGAGGTCTCTGCAGCTCTTTGAAAATGTCATCTAAACCACAAAAGGGAGGGAGATGGAGTGACAGATGGAACTGCAGACTGAGGGACGATGGAGGAGAAGAAGGACAGGAAAACAACTTCACTTATAAGAAAATGGACACTAGGAGCTTTAATTGGCACATTTGGGTTTTGTAGTTTCTCAGAACTGCACCAAGGGCATCTTGCAGCAGCAAACCCTCTCTGGTTTCAGAAACATGTTCTCAAAACTTCCTGTGTTTTTCTGTGTGTCTAACTCGCCTCTGTCTCCTTTTGTTGCCATTGTCATGTTGGACTATGTGTGAGATTCACACCTCTGTGTAAATATGCCCCTCCCTCATTTTGTCCACCAGAGCAGAAGTTCCTTACATGTGACTACATACTAGTTTGAACCTCTGCATCGATAAACTGAGCAGTTTGTGAAGCAAGTGGGACAGCAGCCCTCGTTGTATTTAGTATTCAATGCATAAGAATTTGATGGCGGTATATATGCCTACATCCCAGAGTCCAGGTCTGTGTGCTTCATCTGTTTTCAGACGTCGACCTGTGAAGGTTTGAGACGGTTTTGTGAAAGCTTGCGACAGTCTTCTTGTGCGTTCACATGTCGTCGATGAGTTTATGAATGTTGTAGCGACTCAGCTGTTCTTCAGATATTTTAACTGTAGCTTTTCTGTGGCTTCTTCTTCTTCTCTCTGTCTGAGATCTCGTCTGTCTGTCTGTGATTATTCTGCCTGTCAACTCAGCGGCTAAATAACCCACGAACTTGTAACCAGATAGGGAGCAACCTGAATATGCATGTGTTTTCTGTGAATGACGTCATCATGCATCAGTGTTCATGCTGGCATGTATTTGTGGTCCAGATGATGTATTTTGGCAAGAAATTAGAGTTTTGTCGTCAAAGAGCGACCATCGTTTCACTGTGAAGATGGAAGGATGAAGACCTTTTCACTGATTCTGGAGGAGAGAAAGCCATGTTTCACCCAAGAGCCATCAATCCGAAGAATGATAATAAAGGTTCAAGTATTTGCTTTTACTCACTGTGCTACCAGTGTAGTCATAATAATGAGCTGCAGCTCTTTTTAAACGTCACCCAGACATTAAGTTCCTGAGAGAGACAGACAGGAAGACGGAGAAACAGACAGGCACCTAAAGCTGTCAGAATTCAAATTATGTGTGTATTGGATTATCGTATAAAAATATTTATCAATTAACTTTTCAAGAAATAAAAGTGAAACAAGCCAGCTGTTGTGTTTGTTTCCTACGTTACATGTTTTTCCTTTTCTCTGAAGTGATAAAACCCTGGAACTTTTTATGGTGTATCAGAAAAACAAGAAACAACGTTTTATAATATTATTTACACATGTACAGTGGAAGTACAAAAAGAGTACACCTTCATTCAAAAGCACAAATAAAGCATGATAATGTGCAGATGAAGACCTTACCAACACACATTAACATGCATCCCTCCCTTTATTACCCAAACGATTTTTTTCTATTATCTTATCTTTATTTAATGGAATTCATTTGTTTCTTTTTTACAGTTTAAAAACCAAATTTTCTCAAAAGACACAATTGTTTTTATGACCCGTTTGTGCACCAAATCAAATAGGCAGGGGTGCATTTTGTTTTAAAAATAAGACATTATTGTCAGCTTGATTGTTTTTTGGAACAAATTCATATTTTTTAAATGTTTTGATTCAATAAAAGCCTTTTGATGCACTGACGTCATTTTAACTTCTGAAGACAAATGGAGAATTTTGGAAATGAAAAACGTGATTAAAGATATAATCATCAAACAATCAAATGTTGTGTTTTAATGCGTGAAATTAATGACATTCTTCCTCTCTTGTTCTAATAAACAGAATAAGTGCAAACATGGGAGAATAATTATACCAAGACATTCCATTCAGAAGTCTGTTTCAGCTCCTTGTTTACTTTGAAAATCTCTGAAGCCTTCAACATCAGAGCTGCAAAAGTAGTCCCACAAAGCTCCGAATTTAAACAGCTGTCGCTCACCAGTGTTTCCTGTCCAGATAAAAAACATCATCAGATGACTGTTATTCAGTCTATCTGCTCTTATTTTTACCTACCCCCCCACCCCCCACCCCACCCCCACCCCCACCCCCCCACCCCGAGGACCAAAGGAAGCCACCCGTGCTCCCAGGGCTGTGGGTCCTACTCCCTCTCCTCGGCCCACGGCTGCAGGTTCTGCAGGGCGTACAGGGAGGAGTTGTGGGCGCAGAGCGGGTCTGATGCTGCAGAGTCGCTCAGGGACTTCTGGAGGGCGGATTGTTGCAGCTGCAGGATGAGCCGGTTGGCCTGTTGACGCTCCGCCTCCCTCTCTTCGGCTGTTTGTCTCCTGAAAGACGCGAGGAGAAATGAAATGATCAGAAATTAGACATGAATGGGATCATAGAATAATAATTAAAAATAATAATAATAAAAAACACACACAGAAACTTCATAAGCGCAGAAACATTGTTTTGTTTGTAGAAATAAAATTTCATACATAAAGCATATTACTTTTTTAAGAGCAAGATATCTAATTGTTTATAATGACTTTAAAAAATAATCTAAATTAATAATGAAAACCGAATTTAGACACACTTTAACGTTTAAAACCGAGAGAACAAAGCAACAACAGACCTACCAGTTTTCTGTAAAAATAAATATAAACGCTGTTGATAAAGTTTTATGAACATACAGCCATATATTATATTTATGTATTTCGTATTGTTTTCTTAGCGGAAATAAACAAGAAGTTGTCATCACCCAACCGGAAATGGAGCTTTCCGCTCCTCCGACGCGAGCCTCTCTCCACCTGGTTTTATTTATGTATTAGTTTGAACACAAGTCCAAAGTCTGAACACAGCTTTTTGTTTGGCACGAACCTCCACTTGGTTCTGCGGTTCTGGAACCAGGTCTTGACCTGCGCGTCAGTCATCTTCAGACTCTTGGCCAGAGCCGCGCGCTCCGCGCTCGCCAGGTACTTCTGCCGGTGGAAACGTTTCTCCAGTTCGCAGATCTGAACTCTGGAAAAGGATGTTCGGGGCTTTTTCCGTTTGGGAGGTGTCCGGTTCTGGTATGGGTGTCCTATCCTCCGCGTAACAGCAAACGGCACCAGAGCAGCTGGAGAAGGGAGGTGAGTTCAGACATGAGATTCAACAAAGAAACAAAACACTGGTTTAAGTCAAGGCCGTAGATCAACCAAATCTGTTTGGACTCCTTAAGCTCACTTTTGGAATTACGAGTAAATTCACTCATTTTATTAGAAATAAGAAACAAATTATTTAAAATGTGAGAAAATGGGAATAAACATTTCAGGTATAGAAATTTTCATTTGAAATTAAACTCTCCACATTTATTAGCAGAGTCGACCCACAGGCCGTTTGGTCTATTTGCGCTGTTACATATAATTATCTTTGGATAATATTTAATTTCAGACATTTGGAAATTTTTCCTTAAAATGAGGTCTAACCGAGAGATATTGTTTTCAAATAATCTTTATTTAGCCAAACTGCCATAAAAGGCGTGTCTTTATACGTGAAAAAATCTAACAATCAATTCAAGAAATATTTATACAATTTATAAATTTTAATTCTGTAAACATATTATATATGTATTTTATTCCTAAAGCTGTGAATGTGTTTTTGCTGTTTGCTGCGACTTTTTACTTTTCTGCTTGATGTAAAAATGTAATTTACTGAAACAAACATATGAAGCTGGGTGATGGTTATTATTAATAATGATTACAATAATAACAATAAGGGTTAACAGCTTGAAAATAGATTTTTGAATCATTAGAATAATAAAACTGCTCTACAAGCGTGTGTGTGTGTGTGTGTGTGTGTGTGTGTGTGTGTGTGTGTGTGTGTGTGTGTTTGTGTGTGTGTGTGTGTGTGTGTGTTTGCTTGTGTTTTTATTATCGTCCTTTTAAACAGGATCTAATATTCATGAGGCGACCCGTGCGCTCTGCTAGCTGGCCTACCTGATATTCTGTCTTTAGCGAACCTGTTTCCTATCCAGGGGAAGCACAGCCCTCCAAACCCGGGAACTGCGCTCTGGACTGGTGCCGGAGGTCCCGGGGCCGACACCGGTCTGTGAGCAGGTACCCGTATGACTCCCCGGCTGTTCAGACTCCTGTTCTCACTGTACGAACCGGAAGCCTCCACCGGGGGCATTATCCCAGAGAGGGAGATGGACAGCGCGGTGTATGAGGGCGCGCTGGCCCCTGTCGGGTTTCCAAGGCTGTAATAAGCCTCCCCGCCGCTCAGATCTGATCCACTTTGTCTTCCCGGCGTACGCGCGCTCTCCGGCTCCGATCCTGCACCTAGAATTTGGTCGATGCCAAAGCTGATGGGTTCGTGGTGGACCGGTTTTGGAGGTGGACTCGGCGCGCTGGGTGCTTGCTCCATCCCTCTAAAAGGAAGCTAAGCAAACTACGCAGGCAGTTTTCTAGAAAGACTGACAAGGAGGTCAAACTGCACCAAAAGTCATCCTTAGAAAATTCTCCATCGCTTCCCAGCTAAAAGTCCAACACTAGCGTGTCCTCGTTGTCTTTATCAGGCCTCTGTCCAAGGACTGAATCCTTTCCACCGGCTGCGCCGAAAGTTTGATGGGCGTTTAGAGAGATGTGACGCTCTGTCCTCCTCAGCGCGTCAAAACGCTCCGTCTAGCAGCTCCGTCCTCCTCCATCCCTCTCCACATTTCATTGGCTGGCACTGGGATGACTGATTGAATGTCAGAAGGGGGAAGGCCCACGATTAGGCACAATAATCAAGACTTCCCATAACCACTGGTGTCAGGGTGTTTTATATGTGGTAAGATATGGGATCTTCAATGAGTCAGGGCTTCAGTTAGCGGCGTTTTAGAATATTAACAGAGAACAAGGAGCGCTTTAACTGAACATTTATACAACACATGAGAAGATGTTCATGCTGTTCAGCCAACAAACGATTTGTCATTTGCGTCACTGTTCCACTGATTTATAGGATCGGCTATAAAGTGACAGCAGACAGAATAACTTCAAAAAGTTTACAGTCTGAATGGATGATTCTATTTATTTCTCAGAATGAGATAAATGCGCTTCGTTTTGTCCCGTTGATGTTTCTTACTCCTCTTCATTTTCTGTTTTGATAACCCACCAGAAAAGTGTCTTAAGGCCACGATAACATGAAGAATATGTATTAAAAAGTAAAAAATGAGTTCATGACCATCTTCACCATGAAATCTACATCTTTATTTAAATCGTTTATAGCTTCATCCTAAATGTTGGTATTCAAACACATCATATTAAATAAATGAACTGTGACAACATGTTTGTCTTTATGACCTCATTTATGTTTACATTCCTGTTTTATTGATTTAAGCTTACAGTAATAAATCCGCTCCATCCGGTGCGTAATTACGCACATCTAATCGATGACATGGCACACCATCGCGCCGCTCTTTCAAATAAAATGGACGGCAGCCGTATTGCGCGCTGGCAGAATCAACTGCACCTATTGAGCCTGGCAAAGCCCAGCGCGGCCTTATTTGTTCCTGATAGCCAGTGCCACATTAAATGACCTGACAAGGGAAAGCCACGGGCTACTCCAGATAAAGTGTCCGGGCTCTGGAAGCTGCTAAGCGCTCAGATTCAATGTACCAGGCGCCCAAAGTGACCCGGCTAATCACATTTTCACTAACTTGTCTCATGGACAGACAAATGCGCGTCGGCTTTGGAAGCGGCAGGTGGCTTTTTACGCAATTACATCACATCTCTTCAACTAACCAATACAGTCAGAAAAGATTTGTTGTATTTTATGTGTAATTAATACTTTGTAGCATACTATATCTTACATTAATGTGAATTGGTTTACATAAAGTGTGACGTGTCTAATCAAAACTGGAAAAAACAACCTAATTACAGTTTGTTGAGTTTAAGTCTTTTATTGTCTAAATTCTAATGTGAGGGTAAAGTAAAGTAAACATATATTAAAAAGGAAGGGGAAAGCGAATCTCGCCTTTCACAATACAGTGAAGCAATATGAGATGGGACGAGGCCCGGGGTGTTTGTTTGGCAATATGGACAGACTCGGAGTGTTGGCCGCGTCTCCCACTGCCATATGCGAGCGCACCGGTGGCTTTTGATGGGGGAGAATTGGTCTGTTAAAGCTGTCATCCTTCAGACATTTTCATGTTTCACTGGATGATAACCTGCAAAAATAAATCCGTAATTAAAGGTTGGTTGTGTTGCAGCCATCTTTGACGAGGTTAAAACTAAAACATGGTAATTTGAGCAGGATTGCGTTAGTCTGTGCAGAAGGACTCCTGTTTCTAACAGATGTTACTAATCTGGTGTAATCCAGAGATTATGAACATCAATTTCCTCCACTCAACCTAGCTCCTGCCAACCTTTGAGAATTCATTAGAGACCTGAGGAGAGTTCAGAAAAGATGCAGCTGATGCCTAAACTAAATCAAAAATACAACCTTGAGGTTATTTCGTTTAGAGCGAAAGCATTTAGTTTGAGACAAAATGAAAACCTGCAACCCACACGGACTGAAAACGCCCCAATCCTTAATTATTATTTTTATTTTTTGTTCTTTCCACAGGCAATATAAAAGCTGACACCCTAATTCCAAAAGTCCAAAAAAATAAAAAAAAACGACAACAAAAGAGTGAAACAATTTGTTTGAGAAATTACCACTTGATCTGCATAATCGAGGGGGTTCTGGGCTGCGGCTCGGTACCCGGGGGCTGCGTTTTTATTGCGCGTCTCCTCGCCGTTATCAATTTCAGCGCAGCGCCTGACTTTTTAAAAAGGAGGCCGAGGCCGGCTGCCTCTGAATAATGAATGACACGCTTTTATATTGTCGCTAAAGTGCCCGTGATGTTACAATATGAAAAGGCAGCGGTAAGTAATAGTGCATTTAAAGGGGATGTAGTGTATTATTATGATGTAAAAGAGAAGGAGGGAGAGGGAGATGAGCGGGAGCGGCACCCAGAGAAAGACTGAGATTGTTTTATTACAATAAGAGGAGATGAGTTTGCCTCGCAGCGAAATGGGGACCAGTTAATGAAACTTTACCGCAGCTAACGATTTCCCCTCCCTGGCTCTAAAAAAGCAGCCCTTATGAAATATTTAAACTATTTAATATAGGTGGTATTAAGCTGAAAGACACTTGCATTGGCCATCTGACAGCATTTACAAGGCGGAGGATTTTTCCCCTTTAGTTGGGTAAACAAAGCTTTACTGCCTGCTTTCCTCTCTGGGGGAAAAAAAGTGCAGTTCTGCAGTAAATCTTGCTTACAATTACAGGTCCAGCCATCCTTGAAGGAATGCAGATCACTTGCTGCCTTTAGCTGCAGGAGTTAAGAAATAATGGAATTGTTATCGTTTTAGTTAAATTTAGAAGAAAAAAATCTAGAAAACATATAAGATCTATGGTTTGTTAGCATTTAAGTGTGTTGTGATTGACTCTCAGATCAAATTAAACCACATTTGACATGTTTTTGTATTTTCTAATTTGTAATTTGGCGGCCATCTTGAACAGGTTTATCTCCAAAAGTCAATCAGTCTTAAACTTACAGCCAATCATTGTTTCTTCTGAGAGTGTAATCACAATCCATCCAGTATGTGTCGAATCCTGCAAAAAGACAGAGTAAACTTAGTGAGTTGCACTTTTGGAAGACATTGTGTAATAATGCTCAGGGTAAGTCACATGACTTTTAGCTAATAAGACACCAGTTTTCACATTGATATTTGTGAAAATTACAGAAGTATTACTGTTTCTGTGTCTGCTAGGTTGCATCTTTATCTAGATTTACTCCAAAAGTTAAACATTTGAACATCTAATCATCACTTTTTGAGAGTTTTACTCAAATTTAGTCTGTGGTTTATATTTAGCTAAGAGCCACACACAAACCCACACGTGTACACACACACACACACACACACACACACACACACACACACACACACACACACACACACACACACACACACACACACACACACACACACACACACACACACACACACACACACACACACACATTATCTCCTCCTTTCAGCGGCAGTCAGTAATGAGCACAAAATGTTTAAAACTTGTTTTACTGATGGGAGTCCTGATTTATTTTCTTGTTGCATCTGTTCCCACGCAGTATTCCAGTTCTCCCAGCCCCATCTTTAACGGGAGGGATTGCCCAGCGGTGAGGAGGGAGGGGGGATGTATAGTGTTTCACATTGACATGCTCAGTGGGATTGTTGGACGAGAAGAGAGCAATGGGATCCCCCATCAGGGACGCGGCTGTGGTGATGATGATGATGGTCATCATCCCTCGGCTGTTAGAAGAGCACAGGTCTGCAGATCTATGTGGACACAATTCTTCTGACAGACAGTTAAAGAGCAGACAAACTAAAATGTCACTGGAAATGTCACCTCTATGGGCCTGCAGATATTAAAGGATTTTAATTAGCGGATATGAAGGTTTGGGTTCCCCAAAGGTTCTCTTTATTGGAGGAGAGATATTTTATCCCCCTCCACCCTCTCTAAAAAAGACAGATGACAGCTAAAGTTTAGCTTTCTATCTGTTATAGAAGCTACTCTTGGTGTTTTTTTTTAATACCAAAACAAATATTAAGATTTAAAATGTCCCCAATGGGCATTTGTTTCACTCCATGTTGCATTCTGGCTGCATTTGGGGAGAATATGCTCGTGCCCTGCGTGTGTGAGGGAAGACATGTTTGCCTGTCTGATGGTTGAATGCATGGCTGCCTCTTCACGCTGGTTAAAAGCCGGGGAGGGAGAGGGGAGGAAGAGAGTAAAAACAGGGGGAAGTAAGCAACCACACAGACGTAAATTATAGGGATGGACGAGAGCAGAAGCCGGGCGGCTGAGACTGATATGTGAAGGAAAGAGTTAAAGCATTAATGGGGGTCATTTGTGAAGGATGATGATTGAACACATGGTTCGAGTTTTAGATGATCCCACAGGATCGTCTTCTCTTCTTGTGTCAGAGTTAAGCTCGGTTTTATCGGTCGTGAGTGCTGAGTAGAAGTTTCTCTGCCTTTTCAGCCTCTGATCGGCTTTCACAGAGATCCCACTGACAAAATGACTGATGTAATTAATTAGTTTCTTATTGCTTTAATGACTTATGACTGATTTATGTGTGGGTGTCTGAGAGGAAGAGCGTGGCAGGGAGGATTTAAGAGCAGCTGATTACTCCGGCCGTGGAGCTAATGTGTTAATTCATTACTGCTTGTATTGTGTCAGAGCCACAGATCCCCTCTCCCCTTGTCTGTGTCCCCTCCACTTCATAAAAGCCGATTATGCTGCATATTGCCCTTTCTCTCATGCCTCTTGACCTCCTCACCCCTCCTGTTGCCTGCCTGCGGGGTGCTCATGCAGGGGTGCGAGGGAGGGAGGAGCAGAGGACCAGCTGCCACCAGCAACGGTGCTCCGGTGTCTGGCAGAAAAAGCTACTCCAGCCTCCTGCTTTGCTGGGCCTTCTGGCCCCTCAGGGCTGGAAAAGAGGGGAGTGGCAAGCCTCATGCCACCAACTCCACCTGTCTTGCCTCGGGTGTAGTGTGACAGATTAGACACAGATATATACACGACCATGCGTGCATTTCAAAACCAGCTGACCTGCAAATATGTCTGTAACTTTGATGCAGAC